CGCGTTTTCTCAAGTCCATAGTTCACCCCAAGCGCTCTACAAGTCTACTTTATAACAATTATAAACTTAAAAAGTTATATTGCGTAAATACTTGGACGACCCGAATTCTAACACAATTATTCCGAGATTGGCTATGGTGTGTAACGTGAACGCTATGCCGCTGTGAGAAATATTTTGAAGACTAAATTCAGTGTAATACTAAAGCATAAACCTAATCATTAACGCCCCAAGACATCTGCGCGAGTGTACTGCTATTCGCTTTTATAGGCTATATCTATTTAACGACCCTACTTAAGAAGCATACTGTGAGCAAAAAAATATTGTAATTTGTATATCTGCCCTTCCAGAAATATATTATTATTGTAAGTTTGTGTATGTTCTTGGAATCGCTGGAATATTTTCCTTATTGCGTAGATTGTTGGATGATTTCACAGAGTATGAAGAGGTGGATACCAGAGAGTAGGAAATATCGTTAATAAGCCGGTAGATAAAGACAAGGTTTAGTTTGATACTCCTGACCCAGAGAGGTTCTAATTTGAGTTGTTGACATCTTTGATGATAGTCCTTGTTGTCAGAATATCCCAAAACAGCTTTGGTGAACCTTCTTTGAACACCTTCAATTTTAACCAGGTCATTATTGCCTGCAATTACTGTAAACTAAAATACCATATTCAAAAGTTAGTAAGATACATTTTCTGTGTAACACTGATCACGATTCGATATTATTGAAGCTTATCATTATAAATACGATGAATTTTCTAGCTCTGGATACTTGAGATGCAACGTGCTCGGAAAAGTTCAAACGGTTGCTATATCTCAAACCAAAGTCACGAACGGTGATAAGAGGTTTCAGTGTATGTTTGTGTATAGCTAGATTTAGGTAAAGGAACTGATCAATGTGAATAAATCCACTTTTGTCAGTATTAAGTGGAGAATTAAACGAAACAGTCCATTCGTATAACTTGTTTATCTCGCCTTAGATTACCGTTGAAATATAGCTTTCTTTGGTGGGAGAAGAGAATGAATAAACCAATTTTAGGTCATCGGCAAAAAGGAAAGGTTTACCATATTGAAAGAGGAAACACACGTCATTGATAAAAAGAAGTAAGAGTAATGGACCAACCACACTTCTTTGTATAACCTCACTGGTTACATTGACAGGTCGAGAGTAGCAGGATCCAGATCGAACGATTTGGCTACTTTTTTCTAGAAAAGATTTGAGCCAAGATAAAAGGGGATTCTGTATGCCAAATGAAGAGAGCTTTAGAAGAGAGAGTTTGTGTGAGTCTCTGTCGAAAGCCTCACTAAAATCGAAGCACAGAATTGTCACTGACTGACCAACATCTCTTCTCTGGGTAATTTTACCAGAAAATTCCAGGTGCGATGCGACGCATGAACGTTTAGTCATAAACCCAAGTAAGGATGGGCCAATCAGACTAGCCGAAAATAAAAATGATAATAGCTGTTTATGGATGTGTAGAACTATGGTCTACTATGATATTAGTACTGCTCTAATAATAGACCTAATCCCAAAATTGTAGATTTGTCATGATATAACTGCCTAATCTATAAGATCTTACGTGGAAGTCACACCATCGACTACACAAACTCACTGTATCGTACCAATTACCAATACATGATGTAGAACAATGTTAGGCTGGAGAAGGTACAATATACTTAATACGAATAGAAGATGTAAGGTAACATTCAGAGGGACCACGCCTGCATGGTCGAGCCACGACATCCGACCAACCCCAACTCATTCAATTCCTTATTAGCGCCTTCTCCATCGTTAGGTATTCCTTCGCGTTAAATATTGAATGTCTATTTCCTGAGTAATCTCGTATTCTGCTTTGAGGATTGTGTAGTTATGGTCCAATGCCACTACAGATGTATTTCCATGGTTCTTGATAGCACGGATATCAAATTAATGAGCTTGTAGTTAGCAATATCACTACGTGACCCCGTTTTGAAGCTACGGGTGATAAGAGATGTTTTCCATACAGATGGATAAGTTCGATATTCCACAGATAGATTGAAAAGTCTCAAACAAAATAGTGAGAATTCTCTGCTACCATATTTCACATATGATGAAGGGATCCCGTCAGGTCCAACATCACATGACTTCTTCAGGGCAGCTATGGTCTGCTTGATGTTGGAGGGTATGGGATTAATTTTGAATAGGTGTCTGGATGTCAATATTAAAAATTTATTGATAGAGGTTTTAGTTTCAGCTTTGTGGCATTGCTAGAAATGCTGGCTGAATTGTTCACAAATAGTGTCAGGATTTTCAACGATGCTTCTGTTAACTATGAAGGATTTAGTCGTGCCAAAAGAATTCGACCTCATATGGGATTTAAAAAGCCGAAGTGTTGATAAGTCTGGGCTATTTTTTACATAGGGCTTTGTTTACTATATTCATAAAATACTTGCGTTTAGATGAATCATTTCTGTCAATTACGCTATGTATACACGTCACTGTAGCGGTGTTTCAGTTTTCTCAGCTTTCTTAAAAAGTTTTAAAAACATTTCGGTCTCTTTTGGTGTTATAAGCCACATGGCCAATAACTGGAGAAGTGCAGTCAAGGCAATATATTGGATTGTGCTATAAATTGAAAGCTCAGTGTCAATATTATCTGTGGTAAAATAAATTTTCCATGGTAAACATCGAATGAAATTTTCAGTCCGTTTCGAGGTTTGTTGATCAAACTGTCTGCTCTGGTACATTATTTCAGCTTTAAAGTTCAAACGTATAGTATGTAAAGAATGAGTAATACTAAATACAACTCATAAAATCTGATGACTGGTGTGCACTGAGATAGTCTATGTCGATTGTAAATAATAAATGAAATATGTTATTCCTTTTAGTCGGTTTTTGGACTTCTTGGACCCACCCACAAAATTTTAAGGTTCCAACTAACTTGTTACATCAACCTGGTACAGAAGTGGGACCCCATGTAATGTTTGGCAGATTAAAATCACCTCCGATTATTCTAAGTGTATGCGGTTGATGTGAAGCAATGGAAAGTATGTTTGTTAGTAATCGATCGAAGTCAGTATTCACATGAGGTGGTCTGTATATGCACCTCATCATTAGATCCACAGTTTACGGTAACCCAAGCGGAGTCGTTTATGGCATCAAGAGATTTATCCTAAAATTTGCACGCTTATATGTTCGAACGGACATAGATAACTGCACCGGCTCCTAATCCATGACACCTATCGGTCCGAAAGAAAACGTAGCTATCTACATACAAGTAGTAATCGGACATGGATGATTTACACCATGTTTCTGTAACAAGTATAGTGGTTGGATTTACAAGGAATAAACAGGTTTTAAGGTGAGTAATTTTATTGAAAAGAGAGTGGGAAATGAACGGAAGTATAAAAAACTAAGAGTTGTCATGGTGAGGCAGGTTAGTTGAATACTTACCGGTAATCTTTCTATCCCACCAACCACATGATATATGTATTTCCTTGCACTTACATCCTTAGTTTTTATACACATCACACTATAAATATTGTAGGCACATAACGTGATAATTTTGCTTTGGTGTATTTCGTTAGTAGGAAGCTTCATGCATCTACAACGATGCATAACTATTGTGTCAGTTCCAGTCTTACCTGACGTTACAACTTTGAATCTCTCTAGCATTTATAATACATTTGATTCTTATCAGGATTTGGACCAAAAAAATGTGAATGTCCATTTCCATAGTTGTCTGTAATGGCTTGTCAAAATGTTTCGTAGCAGCATCAATTATGTCAGCGAATTATTTTCACTTACGTTTCCTTGTTTGCACTATGAGCGGAATCATTGACTTCTTCATGGAATTTTTTACAAATCTCAATTAATTTAACAGTACTATGAGGCACTCATGAAACTTGATGAGCATATTCGTCATACAGTCCATGCAAAGTTCCAACTATTTTTGAGGTAACGATGTTATTGGCTAATGATATAGGTCTTTTGAAAAGCTGTTTTCAAGATGCGTTTCGCTCAGTTGGCAAGGAGATTACAACCCAGCTGAGTAACTTACTCCAGTGAAAATGGTATCTTTCGTAACATTTTTGATCTTGCCTGTAAATTGGCATGCCTCATGTAACAAACTGTTATTTGAGAATAAATTCTTCTGATTATTAACATGAATGTTCATTTCTTCCAAACTTACGGACCGACAATTTAGTCTTACACGCGTCGTCTTGGTTACAGAATTCTATTCTAAATGTATCTTCTCAACGTTTGAACCGCGTCAGAAAAGTATTTTACTTTCTGGGTGATAGATGAATTTTGGGATGCTGCTAGCAACCGCATCACAAGATTTACTTGAAGTAGCATGTGAACTCGAGCGGTGGAAGTTAAGCTGTTGAGTCAGCCTCCAACAAACGCATTTGTGTGTCAAGTTGTGCTTGCTGTTGTTGTAGTATTCAGTTGAGCTGGTCATCTGATATGGACATCTTGAATTTGTTTCCCCTTTTCCTCGTCGCCGTTGTTATAATCCTCTCTTACTACAACTCAACTATTCCTGTTGCTTAGTATTCTCGACAAGGTTTTTTAAGCAAGGGAAGAGTTGATTCCTCAGTTACCTGAAAGTGTCTAACAGCTAGTATCGCAGAAATGTGATTATAAGAGCTACCATTAAAAGTACCCGTAAGATAGGACTTTTTAAGATTATCTAATAAGGACTCAGAATAAGCCAAATCTGATTTAGCTAGTATATGTGAATATTCGTGAAAAACCTACGTCTTTTTTTTATTCGACATACAAAAGAATCATCTAACGAAAGCACGTCTATCGTAATTCAAATGCTCCCACAGGTTTTTCTGTGTCTGGTTATCGATTTTTTTACATATATTACAAATTTTTAGGTAGCCAATCTTAATCGATTCATGTTCCGTTCACAAGAAAGAGGTACTCAAAGACACACGTTAATTACAGTAACTTCATTTGCGACCTTGAAACAGCACCACGATTAATGGTACACAGAATTGAAGAAATCGTGCCACCACTTTACTGTGTCAAAAGTCATATTGGACATAAGATACGAAGATTGTAGAGATTTAAGGTCGTTTATATTAGGCGACATTTCAAAGGGTTTTCTTCTTGGTTTATGTCTAACTGGTTGGTCAAGCTTTGGATCACTTAAGCCAGTTGTAGTCCAGTTCATATGTGGGCTGTCCAGTGGATATGAGAATACCGACGGCACAAAGAATATATCGGAATAGTAATCAATGCTTCTACTATGACTATTCGAAATTCGCTTCTGCCAAGGCTGAAGTTTGTAAACGAAAACAAGATCGACAGGGCTTTTTACATGTTGACAGTTACAGAAAAGAAGTTTTTCCGACTTATAGATTTGTGGAATTATACCATGGCAGACTAAGCACTTCTGTTGCTGTTTTCGTTCCACCAAATCGCTACACTACACAACCGTTTTCCCAGATATCAGAACCAAATGAATGTTAGTTGTCATTATTTGTCTTAGTGTTGTTTTGATGGGTTTATTCCATACTGAAAACTGAGGGATGAGGCAGAAAGCTTGTTGAAGTTCTGAGGCTAAAAACTCTAAAATCTAAATTGTTCAAGTACTGTTTAGATATCGTTTAGTAAGATGATGATAAACTAATAGATTTTTTTTGTTTCATTCTTTACTTTAATTGACATTAATTATATAAAACGGCGAGACTAATTTATGGGCGACCTTTGAGCTAAGCTGTACTGACCTTGAGTGTGTTCACCTAATATCTATGACCAAATGAGGGTTTTAAACCTGTGTGAGGAACTAGAGTTGTTTTACAGTTGATGACTAACGTTAGGAGTGAGATTTAGGGTTTTCATCACGAACTGGCACCAACTACAATGCCAAAACTATTTAACCAAATTGGATGAGTGAGCAAATATCCTGTACAATGCTTGAGAGAAAGCCAATCGGTAAAATTCCGTGATATATTGATACGTTGGGCTCGTTCATTATCGTTATTTGCTCAACTACAAGAAATCATATGTTAATAATTACTCGCTAGTAAAATATCTTTAAAATTCGTTCTACTTTGAACTTTTGCTACTTATCTATGCATTCCCATCTGGTGTAAACAAATGATCTCCTTTGTAGGGTCACGCAATCCCCTTCAGTTTACTGGATATTGAAATATAGTTCCTATAAACATTCACGGTGAGAGTAGCGGCTGACTATACCATTAATTCAGGTATCGCTGAGCCAAAATGTCTTGCCATGGTAAGGATTCTGTGGAGTAGGATAAGCAAAACACTATGACAACTTAAATCCGGTTTTAACCACAAAATGGTCAATAAACGCTGCAGTCTGCTTTAATTTCCATTTGTTGACCACTTTTGACTGCTCAGCTGCAACTTAGCTGTTCAGTCATTAAAATATAACCTTTTTTCACTGGTTTGAATACCTTCTACCTAAATTGAGTTGGTTGCTTAATACTTAGTTGTTACAGGCTATAGCATTTTACTCTCACATGTAATATTACTATTATTGTTCCTGACCGATAATTTTTAAGAATTTAATGGTCTCATACTTTTCAATAGAAAACGGGGAACAAGAATTTCAGGATAGTGTTTCTTTTCAGCCGATTTATTTCCATTGTTACTGATACTTCCATTTCGATATTCAACTTTTTAATCTCATTTCGTCGTGCTGATATGTACCAATTTTGGACAACGCACTTTCGACCCAGTTACACGTCTTTTCCTGAGATTACCAACATATTGCATCATTACCAGCTAGCTTACAGCTGTTAAACCTCGCAGAGAGGCATAGGTCGCTCACCAGCTTTCTCCATCGAACTCTGCCCTGAGTAATCCCTCCCAGTTGTTTCCAGTTGCTATTCATCTTCATGTCTGCTTCTAATTTCCAACGCAACATGTTCCTTGGATTTCATCTTTTCCTTTTGCCTTCAGGATTCCAAGTTAGAGCTTGTATCGTGTATGTCCTATCCACCTCCATCGCGTTTGCCTATTTTACCCTTCAGCTGTAAGCTGATTTGTTCTCTTCTACAGTAGGCTGTTGCTGATGTTATCCAGCCAACAGATCTGGACTACTGTCCGTAGACGATTATTTATAAATACTTATACTTCCTTGCTGATGGTTATGGTAGTTCTCTAAGTTTCAGCTCCGTTCAGTAGAACTGTCTTGAAGTTCGTACTGAAGCTTCTGACTTTGATATTGGTTGACAGTTGTTTTGAGTTGTATATGCTCTTCAACTGTAGAAATGACGCTCTTGCTTTGTCAATCCTCGGATTTACATCTGCATCAAATTATCTGTGTTCATCGATGATACTGTTCTGGTACGTGGAGGTTTCCATCCGTACCAGAGCTTTTCTATCAAATGTGGTTGAGTTGGTGTTTTCTGAGTTTTGTTTTAGGATCTTGGTTTTTCCTTAGTGTATGTTGAGGTCTACTGCTTCATAGGCTGCTGATAAACTGGATGTCTTCAGCTGCATTTGTTTGTTATATATGCGATAGAATAGCTAAGTGATCTGTGAAGTGCAAATAGTGTAGTTGCATCCAAACTGTTCATTGTATGCCGTGCTTTCCCTGATATGTGGGGGTTTTCATAATCCAATTGACCACCTGGAGAAAGAGAAGGGGAGATAGTTAGCACCAATTTGTGACACCGTTCGTCACTTGAAATGAATCTATGAGCTGCCCTTCAATCACGACTTTTTAGTGTAGTCCGTCGCATGAATTCCGTATGATGTTGATCTGTTCAGGTACATCATAGTGTAGAGAAAGGATTCATAAGGTCTCCTATGCACTCTGTCAAATGCTTTCTGATGGTCAAGGAGGTTAACGTCTATTGACGAATTCTATTCAACTGATTGCTCCTCAATGATCGATAGTGTCACGATGTGACCTGTGCATGACCAATCCTTACAGAATCCGACCTGTTGATCTCGAAGTTGAGCGTCTACTTCGTCTTTCATCTAGTTCAACATCACTCCACTGAAAACTTTTCCTGGTACTGAATAGTACTGTGATTTCGGTGTAGTTCTCACATTTGCTGAGATTTTTTTGGTATCTTGATGAGATATCCTTCTTCTCAGTCTGTCGATGGCACGTGTTACTCATTTCACATCTTCCTGAATAGAACGAGAACATTTGCAGTTAGTGCTACGTCTGACTTGAGTAATTCATCTGGTATGTCGTCTGACCCTCCTGCTTCGGTTTGGGCACCCGGGTAGCATCAGAGCCCACACACAAATCCAGTGACTTGTGTGGCGCATATTTATTTGGTGCTTCTTTGTGCCAATATTTATGTGTTCAAATAAATAAATAAAACATACTGGTCCTCCTGCTTTCCCACTGTTGACTTGTCTGTTGGCCATTCTGATTCCTCCGATCGTTTGTAGAGTGATAGCTATGCGAAGGTCTCTGTGTGCTCCTTGGATGTCTTTTGGGGTCAGTGGAGCTGGTATACTCAATAGCTCTTCTAAGTGTCCCACCTATCTGTTCCTCCGCTCTTCTTTGAGTAGATCTTGTCAGACTTGGGACGTGTCGCTGAGAGCTATCTCAAATTGATTGAGTTCGTCAGTATGTCGAAGGAAGACTGTATTAGACTTACGTAATGTTATTTGTCCAATGGTTCCTTAGCTTCACTGTGATCTTGGCAACCACCAGGTGGTGATCAAAATCTATGTCAGTTCTTCTCGTAGTTCTCACGTCTTCCATTGACCTTCTGAATTTTTTATTGGTGCAAATATGATCGACCTGGTTCTCTTTAGTGTGATCCGGTGAGACCCAAGTAGCTTTGTGTATGCACTTGTGTAGGAATGTTGTGCCGCCTATAACCATCTTGTTGAGGGGACATAAATTTGCAAATCTGTCACCATTCTTGTTCCGTATTTCCACTCAATCGATGTCGTTCCGTGATATCTCTATGGTCGGTGTTGTCGATTTCAACCTTGACGCTTAGGTCTCCTATCGTGAAGAAAAGGCTCTTTGTTGGACTTCAGCCTCTGATAAATCTGACCTTTGTCGCCTTTGTTGTTATCATTGGTGGGTTTATACCACTGGATAGCGTTTATTGTGATTCCCTCCTTGTTTGTTTTGAAGGATGCTCTGATGATTGTGGGTCCATGAAATTACCATCCTATAAGTGCTTTTTGTGCTTGTCTGGACAGCATCAGAGCAACTGCCTGCTTGTGCGAAGCATTTTCTTTTACATGATCAGATTACAACAGCATCTCTCCCAAATCTAATCTTTTCTGTCCTGCTTATGTTCAAAGCGTTTCAGTTATTCCGAGAACGACCAAGTTGTATCTCCTCATTTTTGTAGCTATTTGGATGGCTCATCCGGTCTCCTACATTTTCCGGACATTCCTTGTACCTATGTTAATTGTTGCACTGGTTGTTAAAAGGGGCATCGGCCTCGTGAGTTTTAAAAAATCTGGGCTTTCACCATGAGGCGACATAATCGTTCTGAATGAAGATCACTGAACTAGGAGGTCAGGGTTTAAATGGTTTAAATTGTTTATTCTGGTTAGTGTTTTTAAAAAAAGTTGTTTTCTACGAGATGGGGTTGCGGACCGCCCACCCAAGCCTCCTGCTCCACCCGGACTTGGGACCAGTAGTAACTCTAGAAGAGCTATAGGTAAAGTTATATTACGTCGTAGATCTATAATATTAATTATCATGGCCATATATATAAGATTTATGGATGACTTAGTGTGTTTATTTGGACCTGGTCTTACCTTAATATTATTTTGTTTTTACATTTGTTGATGTTATTTTAGGTTCCACATATAAACGTTATGTGCTGTTATTGGGTTTGGCAGCTGGATTAGTTAGTCTTGGGTCGCTCTGGTTATACAACTTATTTGAGTGGTGTTCAGGTGTAAGTGTCTCATAAACTTCTCGTGTTTATATACTGGTCAGTCATTCGTTCTAGGTATATTCTTAGTAGATGAGAGCTTAATTTACAAACTACTTCGGTAACGTTAGATTTGAAACAAATTTAAATTGTAACAGACACCTTATTCTGAACGTCACACTATTATTTGTAGTTGGTATTTTCGTGATTTAAGAATTCCTTTGTCACCACTGTTGCAAGCAAATTTGCTTCCGAGGGGCTGGGGCAAGTAGAAAAGTATATTGGATGTGTACCCTAGTTCACCCTTTGATGTTTTACCTCAAGGCTACTCGATCAACGATAAAATGCTGTCTTTGTGAATACAATTACGGCGGGTTGTCAGTAAATATTTTAAGAAGCGAAATCTGATAAAGGTGCTCCTCGATTCATTCATAGACATACCTGAAATTTGCCTGGTCTCAGCTTTGTTGTTTCCGAGTATAATATCTCAATACCTTTCGTAATGTAACTTTTTACCAAGCACAGGTTTTCGTACCCAGCTTGAAGTCACTCTGACAGCAATATCTAACTAGCCGATATCTATTGACCACCATATTTGAAATCCTGTAAAGCTAACGTCTCGGACTTTACTCCTTTCTTCACGATAAAATCAGGAGACGTATTGTTGATTTCTAATCTGTCATTTTAGCGGCAGTTTCAATAACTTAGCTTTTGTTAGTCTATTCAACTACCAAGCGTTAGCTTTTGCTACTACCTTTCCTATCTGTTGATTTTCTGCTAAATACTCAAGGTAATTGCTTGAGCATTTTGCCAGTATCCAAAGTCTGGGACGATGGTTTTCTGAATCACATTGTTTTTCCTAAAATTCCAAATATAATCTACTTACGTCGTGGTGAAGATCTGTATACTTTCCTGGACGTTTCACTCGTTCTTCTGTAATTCCACACGTGATATTTTCATTACAATTCTGAGCTTAACCATATCTTCCTGTTGTAAAGTTTCTGAGTCCAAAAAGGGCGGATCTGCAGTTACTCTTACTTAGACCTAATCAGAATCCAAACACATACATAAGAAGGGGGAAAAGTCGTCTATTACCCTTTTTTAATGGTGATTAGGGCATGTATTACAAATGTTCATTTTCTGCCTTTAAATATAATGCTGTGTCTTTAGTTTTGAGATCACACGTGGTTGCTATCGCACCTGTTTATTCTTTTAGTGAGTCGCGGTAGTAAGGTCCGATGAACAACTTCACTAGGTTATTTTATGAGTCGTGTGGTCTGAGGATAGATTAATGGTAAGGGGTTCTGGGATTGTTACCGGTGAGGCTTGTTGTTTGATTGGAAGGGGCTCAAACAATGTGAACGTTAACATATAGCTTAACGAGCCGATTTAGCAGATCAATGGTAAAATTTCACTATTATCAATAGTATGATCTAAACTATAAAACAAGGAAGGGATTTAGTTTCTGACAGGTTTAACTCACGTGTTGCCCATGTGAGGGCGATTAGCAATTTTTAGAAAACTAAGACTTGGAAGAATATTTCTTTTCAACGAACGTGTGAAAGCGATTAGGTTAGTGATTGTTGCTTCGTTGATTTAATAGAGGGATCATAAACCAAACTCAAAAACTTTCTGCAGCTGGAAACAGCGTCTTTCTTGGCAGTAGTTTTTGGTTGTCTACTGCTAGCTCCGTAGTTTTTAAATCCTTTCGAGAACACCGAAAGCATCTAGGGGTAGTGCCGAACCAATTTTCCATCTGTAGCAATTCCATTTCGCCAGAGATTATGATCACTCAGGTAAATCCTCCGTTACCGCCACTCTTTATTGCGTCTAAAAGTATTATTTCATCTTCAAGCCTAAAATTTGTTGCCATATTACCATCCAAACGGTCTACCCGTTACAGTACGCCTTCAAGTTAAAAACATAGCCGACGAAGCTATATGTGGTCGGCTCAGTAGACAAGCATTGTCGATTAGTTACCAGCTACTGTCGGGCCAAGTGAGTGTAATTTATATTGTATTGTGGTATTTACATGGGAATGCTAGAGAGCAAATAATTAAAAGTCGTTAGGAACATTTTCTTTACTTTCATTAGTATTTAAAATAAATAATATATGTTTGTAAAATGATGATTTTTTTTTATTCGTAATAGTTACAAACTTTTGAATATCTGAAAAAGACACACCAGGTGTTCAGTCCAGATGAATCAGAAAACAAAAGACAATTTTCAACTGGGCATGACGACGACTTTGATTTCAAACAAAGGAGTTCCAATTATTCCAAAAAGGTGGAAAGTATAGTAGATACACAAGTAGATATCGATCAGTATTTCGATTTGCACTATATCCATTACGATCGTAAACTTCCTTCGAAGTCTGAAGAAATATTTCCTAGAAAATGTGTCACAAGCACTGACATCGTTATCACGAATAACGCCGATCATGGGGTCCGGTCACATTTATTATGGACTAGTGGATCCATGAATTGTCCTCATTATGGTTCAGGCTCATATAAGGTGATTAGTTTAGGCGTTTTTATATCCAACACTAAATTCTCATAATGTACTTCTTAAAATGTGTCCCAAATCTTGAAAATATGAGTAGCTAATCATTTTGTATAAATGCTTATTTCTTCCTTATTGTAATAGTTTAGCTAGTTTATATTTCATATATATTTACGGCCTTTCTAATATATTTTTCTATCTTAACAAAACATCTGTACATTAAGTCGTCCCATTTAGTGATTTCAGTTGAATCAGTTGTCTCTGATCTATCATAAACACTTACACTTCATGCTTTGTCTCATTTATGTTCTGTCAATAAACTTTGGAATGTGTTGATTTCCTATTGTAGCTCTTGATTATTAGATTTATTAGACATAGTTCCTTATGCTGAATTAGGTATTCAGTGTTATGAAGTAAATAACATTATTATATAATATACATAGGGTGGCATATGGTAGTAGTTGTGTCTCATTCAAGTGGGGATTAGTCGAATTCCGCATATCTTGGGATGGGGACTTTATTGTTTTAAGGAAGAATATTTCCTACAGATTAGGTCTTATTTACTAGAATGAACTTTGTGTTGTCTGTGAATATTCTAAATATCATTGCTGGATAAAATATTGAAACAAAACTCTGAATCAACGCTATCACATGTCACAAAGGCAATTACTTAATAGATAATTTGTATTTCTATGTGATATTAAACAATAGTTATCCAAATCTTTGACATTTTTTACATCACAAATGTTAAGATTGAAGTGAAAGAAACCACATGTCCGTACAGAATCTCTGCAACAGATTTAACTCCGAATTGAAACTGTCCCTGGCTACCTCATACTGCTTAAAGGCTCAAAAACTTCTGATCTATCTATCTATCTTAAGACACTGCATAGCTGAAAGTCAAGACACGCAGTATTGTAGAACAATTTATTTGACGTACACAAGTGAAAACAGCCAGACGGAAGCAACAGATTAACGTTCAAACCTGGAAGGAAACGTATATATTTAATCAACAGACAAACGAAGCGTACATATTAATTAAGAGTTTAATTAAATATCCAAGATTAGGCTACTCTACGAAAGTGACGAAATAAAAACAGTTTACATAGGTTAAAAAGAGTGACACCAAATGTTATCAAAAAATGTACAATATACTATTGTTGTTCAAGATTCCCTCGACAGGACGCTGAAGTATATTGTTGAAGAAATAGTAATAAGATTTAAGTATCGTCCATAGGTCTAGTAATTTTCCCATATTTAAACACACGTCCATATACTATGATGTTACATCTATCGTTAGTCAGAGCTAAAGAATAATATAGTACGTATTAAAACCGAAACACTTGTATTTCTACATCTTCGGTGCTTTAGTCTGAATGGCCTCAATCTATGCAGGGAGGAGTTCTATAAGATGCTTAAACTGGGAATTTTTTTACCCTTGAACTAGTCAAGCCAAAATTAGTTCGTTTATTTTCATATTACTGGTAGTTTTGTGTCACACAGCGAAAATTGATATGTCATGTTTATTGTTTAACCTTTCGAATATCTATATTCTAACACCAATGAAAGTTAAATTTATGAAATCGAGCAACTGATATTTTGAAACTTTAAAAGGAAAAGGATGGTCAACAACATTCTGTGAATTAATGTAAAAAACCGAAATCTCATAGCCATTGATAAGAAAGTAAAACGTATATTGGGTATTTTGAAACAAATTCGTAATATATGTCAAGATATTTGTCATACTCATTACAGACTAACACTCAATCCGATCTCGGTATTTATTAATTAATTTTAATTGCGTTTAGTCATAGTTATTAATCATCAAATTATCATGATGTTGTTTACTATTTGCTTATATACTGTTGAGTATTCCACTCATTTACAGTTTAGATCTGTATCTCTATTTTAATTGGCGGACTTTCATTTATTAACCGGATTGTTCAATCCTGTTTATCCCAATATGGTTCATAAAGTCCATCTTCCATTAATTCCCACAAAGTGGATCTTTTATTGTTACACTGAAATTTTTATAGAGTGGTCAAGATGTATCTAGCTATGATTTCACATGTTTTTTTAAACATGTAATGTCGTTTTTCTCGGCCGTTACATCATAGTAGATTTGAAATATCTATGTGGAGTGTAATTTTAGCACATATATAAATTCATTACTTAAATTATTTTTCTTTGTTTACATTCCAGATCTGTACTATTTGTTGGCTAAATATGCCTGACTGCTGGCTTCATGGCCCAACATGGAGTTCTCTGAATTGTCAATTTAGTTCAAATCAATTATGGAGAAACACTAACCTTTTAGGACTTCTCGTATGCTTGCAGTTAATATACAGAGCAATTTATTTAGCTTGTAGTAGTGTAACGAAACAATCTAACTCTACACAGACTAGCCCTATATCTACACCGAATTTAATAAACAGTGAGTATTCGGATTGTTTACATCAGTTGTCGAATACTCCTTTTAAATTTGGTAAGTTTCTCTTGTATGTGTATAAGTCTTGTTTTAGTTAACATTTTCTGCCATAAAACATTTCCACATATTCAATGTTTCATAGTCGGATTTTGATTGGTTATTTATTTTGAATAATCATTTTTGTGATCGATCAAATGTCATAGTAACAAAAACGTAACTGCTCGTCATTTCAATACTATCTATATTTCCTTGTGCCAATAGACGTACTTATGATTATTGCAGTTTAAAATGGTTGAGATTCATGTTGTAAGAAAACAAACTAAAAGTACTCTCGCCAAACATTCTTTTAAAAGTTTTTTTCTTAATGTACGTTAAAGTATATAAATGATTGACACGCAGATGGATATTAATGATTTTAGGCCTTGCTGAAATCAGCAGTTAATAATTTCATGTACTGATACTACGTATTGGTTTGATCGAAAATAGCCCTCATCCAAACCAAGTACTACGTTAATATTGAAAGTTTGGTTATGTGAAACACCTCATCAACTGATCTGCAATTTTTAGCTTTACCCTACTCCTAGCTTCAACATAGATAATAAGTTTCTGTGCCTCATGTTCAATTATTTTCATCTCTTTCCTATTTTTTTCTTACAGATATTTTCCCTTAAAAATATTTTTCCAACATGATTTACTTCGATCGAATATTATTTTATTATTTTCTCCATGTAAAAATATTCTTTTGTTAAACACTAATCAAATTTTTTTGTTTTCTCGAAGTATAATTAACACTGTTCGAATGAAATTTCCATTTAGAACTGAAATCAGATGAAAAACCATTTACAACTGGCATACACTAAACAGTTGTTTCGTCATGGTTTCGAACTTATCGCTTATATTCATCTACAACCTTTTACATGCAATCAAACCTATAATCTTTAGGTTTCATATCCAACGAATAATCATGAGTCCATCAAGTCGAAATCCTTATCAAATGTTGCGTACTATTACTGGTACTGTTTAGGGAAAACTATGATTAATCATTAGTTGCATTAAGTTATCATCCGCTAGTATATTGTCGCTCTATAAATGTACTTTCATAAATATCAAATATTTATGCATCACTTTTGAAGCCAGTTATCACTTATTTTATCCTAATCAGATTTGGAACTTGGTAAACTTGAGTACTGTTCGACAGAATGCAAATTTTGTGCTAGACTCTACATTGATTATGACAGACTTTATCCTGTTACTCTTTACGGCCATCCGACTTAGATACTGATAGACACGCTTCCTATACATAATCCTAAACTTCCATATGAGTGAGGAAACTAAGAAGGTATAGTGAACTGTCTTAGTGAACGGAATCAAGTTGTACTTAACTCAGTGATATATATGAGCCAAACCCTGAAGAATTACATCGAAAGCTTCAATCGACAGTGTCTCCTTTCACATTTCTCACTTAACATTTGACTTGAACTAGTCTGTGCCCATAGGCGCATAGTCAATCATACCTCGTCTACCCTTCATCACTGTTTCATAGTGTTATCTTCTCTAGCTTACCGCCTTATGAATTTAATTCATCAAGTCTTCGGTTAAACTAAATCGATTAGGTTTTTTGAGATTTCTTTCTTTATATTGCTCAGTTAGGTTGTTCCCAGTGAACTTTTTTTCTTCAATCATCTTGTGTGATAAATTTCATCTTTCCTTATTCCTAATTATATTTCAACATATTTCTCCTGCGTTCAGATGAAACGTCGAACTCAGAATCGACCCAACATGTTGCGATTTTTTCCACAGGGAGTTCCTAGTTCATAACTCGATACTTTCTCATGCTAAACTCAAAAATATTACATTCACTGATAAAACACTAAAATAATGTATAGCAAGGCCATTTAGATGTTTTATTTTCATAGTTTTAATTTTATGTATTTACATAAGTAACCTTTTATCCAAAAATAAGTTCTTGTTAAACCAAGATGACTAGAGAAAACGACAAATAATAACACATGTAGACTGGTAATTAAAGATCAATTTCTTGAATTACTTTTTACGCACTATATGTTTTAATCGATTGTATACATTTTATGGTAATGTTTAGAATACAAACTATTGATTTAAATGCCATTCGCCATCAATTATATCAATCAATACCTAAATTGTATGAAGTTTTCCCAAAAAATTAACATAATTGGTTCATTTTATTAATTTGGATGGTGCAATCAAAAGACAAAGTCTGCCCTGACTATTTTCCGATTTGTTGCGTTTGATCTTTTATTTCTTATAGAAATATGTGAACAAATTAAAATGTGATCCATTTGTTCGAACTACATAGTGCCAATTAACTACATTAGTTTCAATTAACTACATACTATCATTTACTTATACCTGAAGCTTTTTGAATGGTTTTTCCGGACATTCCATGTACCTATGTTAATTGTTGCGCTGGTTGTTAGAAGGGGCATCGGCCTCGTGAGTTTTGAAGAATCTGGGCTTTCACCATGAGGCGTCATAATTGTTCTGAATGAAGATCACTGAATTAGGAGGTCAGGGTTTAAATGGTTTAAATTGTTTATTCTGGTTAGTGTTTTTTAACAAGGTTGTTTTCTACGAGATGGGGTTTCTGACTTCACGCACAAATGACAGTGGATTAACTTATTCTTTCTCCTACTTAATTCCCCATAATATGTATTGTTTTGGGTTTGACGATGTCATCTTAATATGTTCAACAACCATTCATCAATCGATATTTCGATTTCATGTTGTGGGAGCATCCGTTTTAATTGTTAGGTCTCTATGTGGGAATCCATTTTTTTACAAATGTATTCATTTCTACCACCAATTGGCTTATGAAATTGATAAGCTTAAATTCTTGCTTGATCCATCTGACAAATGTAATTCTAGTCCACAATATTAGTGCATTCACTGAAATGTAAATCGATTGGGAATCATCTCAAGTAGCCATACAATTATATGATCAGCCTATAATGTTTTGAAGTCAAAATTATATTCGATTGAGATGACCTGTTCACAGGAGTGTGATCAGTTAACTTCTCTCATCTTACTTTATCTCGAGCGGACTATATTTGAACAGTACCAAGTATTTGGTTTTGAATCAATGATTGAGTACTATGAGGCTTTAAGCAAGATGTAAATATCTAAGTCCCATTTTTTAGTGGTAGTGAATCAACACTCTTCAGGAGCTTCAGACTGTCCAATGGTTTTTTTTCAATTGAGACCAGTTTTTGTGGAATGGGATCTTTTGATATCCGTTTCGCACAAATTAATATTATAATGCTTTATTACTGGGACGATTACCGAACTATAGATTGGTCTAATCGATTAAAACACCAATATACTACGATGCAAGTAGGTTCCGTCAACTGAGTTTCATATTGAATGAGAAGCATATTCTGTATTCCTCTCCTATGCAGTATCAAAAATATACTTATTATTGATTATTGGTAAAATATATCATAAATACTTATGAAATCCTCAGTTTGTTCAGTATTACCTTTTTCTATGTTCTTTTTTATCTTAAGTGTAGACAGAGTCTATTGTAAACATAACTTCCTAATTTAACATACTTTAGGGAAAATCACGGTGGTATATACGCATATATGTACTAACTGAAAATGGTACATCATTTTCACACATAAACATATGACGATTCGTATGCTAAAAAAGTCAAGCCAATCCAATAAAAAATGGTATCTTGTAAACTGTTTGATTAACAGAATATGCACATCAGATACGTTTATACAGGAAGAGAAAGATATAGTATGCAGATTGATCTCTACTTTTTAACTCTTGTATACTTTAGGTAGTTTTTATTTAAACAATGGTTCGTGTTTATTATTATATCTGCTTTTGTATATATGCATGTGTGTGTGTGTCCACTTCTGTATCGCTCGTTAATACTAGATAACTAGTTCCTGAAGATTTATTTGACAAGACTAATTTTATGCAATTCCTGAAAACGTTTCGGTATACTAGTTCCAAGTTGACTAGTTGAACCAATGCAAAAGCTTTATTAGTTCAAAATGTGATATTTATGAGGAGCATAGAGAAGGGTTTCGTACAATTTTTCCAATTTTTAATCTAAATACAGCGAAAACTGAATTTAACAGAATAATATCAAATCATTTGTTTTTTTGATTCTCTCTTATTCCCTTCAACCTAAAAACAATAGTAGTAATTATTTTTATCATACCAATCAGGATTACTGAAAGGAGTAATAAATAACCAAGAATAGTAAAAATGCTCTAGATTTTAAACACTTATATGTTAAGTAATGTGCAAATTCCAAAAGAAAAATCTTAAAAACACAAGGAAACAAGTTTCTAGAAAATAGAAGTTGGTGTCAAAAGTCATATTCTAACACTTGTAAAGGTAGATAGATTAATGGAGCAAAATAAGTAAAGCTCAATTCGTAACACAAGGATAAAGGAAAAAATAAGTAACTGGAAATATGAAATGGGATATTGCCAAATTAAATGTTAGGAATTAAAGTTATCAGGTTTATACGAGATTGATAGCTGTATCCTTCTGAATTTATATGTTCTGTTTTAACTATATGAATTAGTGGGTTCGGCCATATGTAATGACATTCAGGTTGTTTGAGTATGGATTATTTTGAAAGATTTTGACGTATCAATATTCCTGTTCACTACCAAGCAGATAACACGTAATCTAAGATGAAAAAAAACTCTCCTTCCTTTTCTTTCCGTGCAAATGCTCTGGAGCGTACATATAAACTAGCAAACATCATTGAAAGTAACATAAGTTGGGTATTTGTCCACTTTTGTCAGAATAGTAATTGTTTCATCCAGAGATGTTAAAAATCTCTATTTTCCAAACCGTCCTTATGTGAACAGAGATTTAAAGAAGCCATGACAAACAACGGAGGCTGTTTTCGGAGGCGTCATTTTATTTAATTCCAAGTTTTTAAAACGCCAACATTTAGTTTTGTCACTAGTTTATTCTACAAACCATAAACTTTCGTTTAATGTTTGATTCACTGCCATACCATTTTCGGTTCGAAAGCTATTGCAATTTATCAGTACAGGGTTGTGGAGGTTGTTGAGTGTTGGCTGAGATCATGAATCGATCAATGTTAGACCACAATTGAAAATCTGAAAGCACTGGACAGCCGTTTAGTCTCGGTATGGGACTCCTCAGAAGTGCGCATCCACGATTCCACATGCGGAATTCAAATCCAGGACATTCGGTCTCACACACGAACGCTTAACCTCTAAACTAGTGCGCGGGCATCCAACAGTATTAATGTCTAACTTCAACCAATCCACGATATTGTGCAACCATCTTCAGTGGGTAATTGCCTCACACCCGACACGAATCGGCTCCACCAGTCGCAGCTTCTCACCAGAACTCCGAGAATTACCTCTCGAAGTTAGTCACCAGTGAGCACGTGATAATTATCAGTATAGGGTTTTGGAGATTGTTGAGGTTTGATTGAGATTGTAATTTAAACGCAACCTTCTGTACTCCATTTTTCTACCCCAATGCCCAGTTTGGACATAATTGTATTTTTCTAATTGTTTATGCATTGTGGTTATGCTAGTCATCTACGTTGTTACTGACTGACTGACTGACTGATGAGTCATCTATTTATTCATGTATCTTTCTACGGTAATCAGAATCAGAAATTGAGAATAGTGAATAAATCGAGTGGTGTTCCAGTCGCTCGCTTGTCAACCCATGAGGTGGTAGAATAGTTTTCATCTCTTTACCCAAAGCCTTTAGTCTCAATTCGGACTCACATTTCTAGCATCGAGGTTAAACCAGTTAGCTCATCGTGTCAAGGCCTTAACCTAGATTAAGACAAGTAGAAGGATCAAAGACCTAACACTGTCGCAACAACTCGGTCACTTTTCTGACGAGAAATTCGCCACCATCCTCAAAAGAGAGGCAGTCATTCATGTCTGCTGACTTGTGAGGCTACAGAAGTTCGAGTTCTTGCTAGACCACTTGACTAAGTGGATCGGTAGTCGTCGACTTGGGAGCGCAGGACAATTTACTTGACTCTGTTAAGGCTATAGGCTAGCTGAATTGTCGTTCGAAAATCTTAGCCCATCGTCTAAGACCATTTTAAATGTTACTAATTGGCGTGCTATCGACTCCACGGACTGTTTGACCGACACCATACTTCTAGATACCAGTTGTTTGGGTGAGTTGAAACAGCTCTCGGGATTCAGCTGTTTCCTCCAGCTCATGAGCACTCTCCAAATACCAGGTTTTTCAGTCCTTACCAAAGCTATGTGAAATATCCTGATTAACGTGTATCTTCAAAATGACGATTCGTCGGAGTAGACTGGGATGCTTTGAGTTGTAGGGAGCTTATGTAAACCCGGTGCTTGTAATTCGGACATTTACCGAAACCAGAAGTCACTTAACTAATCACTTCCGTGGTGCTGTGCAAATACAGCCGATACTGATTTCTACTTATCGGTGGACTGGTAGCTAGCCTTCAACCTAACTCAGTTTGATATTTGGTTGTATCATTTCTGAATCTTTATTGGTCCCCAATGTAGAAGCTTTTCTCCTAGCCCCCCCCCCGTTGAGTCCAGAATGAAAAATCAGCTTTCATTGTATGAATAATATATTTCAGACATACGTACTTTATATACAAGCAGACCAGACCTCATCACATCATAAAATGAAAAATAATAATTGCACAAGATCAAACCAAAAGTGTGCGTGTGAGTATAAGAGACCGTAACTAATAAATTGGGAATGAATTAAGAATGGTAAGTCGCATAACAGCAGCCAATGGGTCAAATGAAGTCTTACGATAAACGAAAATAAATATACATAGTCTAATTACATAATAGTTATACAATAGGAATATATATATAATAACAGTCTATAGATAGTTTCTGGAAGCTTAATCTTCGGATACAACAGCGTCTATTAGCCGCAAATGCAAGATAAGCTTGGGGCGAAATAGGTAATTATCAGAGTCCAGATAGGTATTTCAAAAGGAGAAGCAGTCTTGTGCATATCCACATTAGCGATAGCTGATCATGATGTGATCAATCTGAAATTTAGTCTGGTGTTGTAGATGAAGAAGGCCAATTAGTATATAGGTGATAAGTTCATTAGAATTTGGTAGTGGCTAGGAGCAGATTGTGGTCTGCACAGTTACAAAAGACGATTACTGCTATCTGATCTGAGACCATCGAACCCGTTTGGGAACATAAGTGACTTCCCTCTTTTCAAAGACGCCAGATTTATGCATTCAAACCTCTGGATAATGCTCCATCTCTCGAGCGACCTTTTATTTCTTACTTCAATAGACCCTTCTAATTTAATTGGACACTAACGATTATTATTGAGGATTCAACAAATGATTGCCTTTTCTGCATCACCAACGCAAGTCAAGCTGAACGAAGTTACTACATTGTACGGAAATAAACATACATAGAACAAGCATTTCAAATCAACAGATGGAGAACGAAGTTTTAATACTTCATTAAAATCTCGAATGCGCGTCACGTGTACTTAACATGACCAATATTGTGACTTTCCATGGACAACTAAACTTATCTGTTGTCCGATCTTTACCTAAGACCTTTTAAGCAGAACAGAACTTTCTACAGAAACTGGTCGCTAAGTTAGAAATGAAGATGTACACAGAATGGAACAACTTGAATTAAAGTAAAATAAATTTATTTATCATAATGTGATTACAAGCATCGCTTGAGTAGGTATGAAGGAAGAGCAAATAGAACGGTTTCTCTATAATTATTAGTTGTCACACTTGTGAATAGCCTGGTGTTCTGCCTGGGTACCCGGACCGAGGCTGGTAGTTTTCTCAGGAGGCAACTTCCAAGTCTCTTGACTTAGAGGCCTGATCCACTGGGATCTGGTTTGTTCTCTCCCACAGTTGGTTGTTGCTAATAGTGTCCGGCCAACGGATCCGAAGTATTTTAGAAATGATTATTATACTTTATTTATTTGTAGTGTTATATAATTTGTTTTGTTTAGCTGAATGATCATCCTCTGAACTATTTTTCATTGTATATTTGTGATTTCAATAACATGAAATTGTTCCGTCTGATATGTTTAATTCTTTACATGATGGAAACAACTATTTTAAGGGGAAGAATACATATTGTCTGTTGACCTTATTTAGATTATTTGAACATTGTCATCCATTGTTAGTTATATGTAGGTAAATAAGAATTAATTGATTCTGTGGGAGTGATAATAGTTAACTTGCTGAACTGTTAATTTTTAGATTAAATTATCAATATAAATTGAACTTTAATAACTAGAATTGCAATGTTTTAACTAATTTCCCATATTTTTCTAAATTTAAAGTAAGAAGCGATATGTTTTACTCGCTTTGATTTAGTACTTCAGACGGCAAACCGTAAAAGTTATTACATAACATAATGATAGTGAGTGAAGGTTAATACTCATCACTCAATTTCACAAAATTTACGGAAGTTTAGGTATTCCTTTCCTCAGTGTGATATAGTCAATCAGTGACAACGTTAAATGAAGCAAACCGCTGATAAAAAAAACTGTAGTATACCTGCTTTCAGATTCTTGTAAGTAGGGAATTAAATACCATATTGATATACTCTATAACTTTTTTCTTCAGAGGAGTGTTGAGGCTTTACCTCAAGCGTTTCGATACTATCTTTGCAGCTAACACAATATCTTTTCTGCATCTTAATCATTTTTGAAGTCATCGTGCTGACTTTATTAATGTTCAGTGATGAAAGGATTATCTTTCCATGACATTGGTTAGTGGGACGCGTCAACTGAGTTAACCTTGTCTACAATTAAAGCACTTCTTTGTCTGACTAATTATTTTTGGACCATTTTCCATAGGATTGGTTAAATACCTGATTTGTTGTACTTTCTACATTTTGAAAGTTGAAATACTGGACTAACTTCATTCATCGATTTAGAAATTACGTAAAAATATTCTCTTATTTGTATGAACAGCTTTTTGTGCTTAAACATGTATAAAATGAACGCTATCATTATATTGTCCCGTTTAAAAAATTGATAAGAGCAATGCTAATGTAAATACTAACCTTCAGATTGCGTAATAAAGTTTTGCAAACCATTCATGTGATGTGTTTGGTCTATATATTCTGGTGAGCTTATCGATCAATTCAAGCAGTTCTTTACCAATATTTTGTTCATATGTTAAGTCAATCCAATCTCATGGTAGCTGGAGGGTACAAGGGATATATAAAAGCTATGTTAGGTCTTGAGATATCTTTCGTTATTAACATCTTGTTATACTAACTGGTTCTAAACTTGGATTAGTATATTTATTTAATGCTGACGGAAATCTTCATCCCATTTCATGTACAAGTTAATCGATTGTACGTTTTGTCTAATGACCTAAGACTACACAATATGTAGAAGAGAACTAGATGTAGTCATTTTAAACCCATGGTCCACTTATACAGAATCACACTTTTCCACCTTTTTACTAGTATTCATTTCTATCAGTCATAATATCTGTCTAAATTATCGTAAAATTATTTTCTCATGATTTTCTTACAGATAGTGAGTCTATTACAGCTCATACACCTTTAGTAACATCCACTGTCAACATGACCCCGATTTCTAACTGTCCACTCTTAGAGCATAGTAAGATAGGGTTCAATCCTTCAAAATCAGATCAATCCTGTTACTTGCTTCAATCAAAATTAATGAGCTCATTCGACATAAATTTCAAGAAAACCAGTTTATGTGATAATCAACAAAATAACAATGTAAAATCTCTTTCCACATCTATTGATAACGTGTTATTTCCAAGTATGAAAAATGAGAGCACTGATCAAACGTCTATGAATATTAAATCATCTGATAAAGATTTTATAGTAGATCCTATTGCCACTATATCTACAGATCAGTTATTGTCAAAAGTTATCGAAATCCTTAATCCTAAACAAGTTGATTGGTTAAACAACTCACCAGTTGGAACATCATCATCACGATCATTAATTCATCGTGTACATAGTGATGCTGTGTTAGATAGAAAAATGAGTAAATCTTGTAAATATTTGGCGAAGGAAAATGATTATACTACTCGGACTACTACCAATCCACCTATATATCATCGTTCACGTTTTCATTCCAGTTCAAATTCATCTACTTTGTCATGTTTAAATATTGATGATAATGAAGGTTTTGAGTACGATGATATTATTTCTATCTATGCAAATAAAGATGAAGTAATGAGAAACATTAACAAAAATCAAATGACTATAAAACATATTCATGGTGATAACAATGATGAAGATGACGGTGATGATGTTCTCATTGATGAGAACAATGAAGATATAGACGACAATATTCTTCGACAACTCGACACATTATCTTCTCTTCTTAACAATAAGTCTGATAATTTCTTCCAAGGTCAATCAAGTGAAATTTCATCGGATTTAAACAAAAGTACATACATTATAAATGCACCTGATGACGTATTAATATCATTCTCATCACCGTCATCGTCACCGGGAATTAATAAAAATCCTAATAATTTATTACCTAGTAGTAATTCCGATGCAATAAAATTCACTGATCTTACACAAAAAACTGTTGTACTCACAGATGAGTTAAACAAACTAGGTGTTACACTTGATCGTTTATTGTATAAACTACAAGCTAATCAAATTCAGTTGGATCAAGCTGAAGATAATTTAGATTATATGTGGTATTTAAGAGATAATTTAGATAATAATTTTTCGTCAAACACATCTGATTGTTGTTCTGAGTTTGGTTTAAGTGATGTCGAAGCAGAAGCTTTACTAAATGATGATGGTGATGTTGATTTAGATGAAAATGGCAGTGATGATGATGAATATAAAGGGACGGAAGATGATTATTGGTCATCACATGGTAGAATGACACAATCATCTACTCATCCAAATGATTACTGTCCTATCCGTGGTGTTTCTGGTTATTTGTTCAGTTCACATGGAACACTTGATAGTTCTCATTATTCTAATTTAAAAATCCCAAGTGATATTCGTAATCATTCATCAAATTTGGATTCAGGGTTAGAACAATCAGTTATGACATGTTCTGAATCATATGCGCAAATGTTCTCACCAATGCCAGAAAAACATTTAGAAAATTCGCTTGATCATCACTTTTTATATAATAGATATTTATCAAATTCTCATGTCTTTAAAAATTACTCACATTCACTTCCAAAGTATTCACGTTTTAAAAAACGATGTAGTTATAGTCAAAGGAAACGAATGTGTAATAGTGAGAGTAATCGTTTTTCTACAAATGTTCTTCCTGATTCTGATGGTTTTCTACATCCAGGTGGGTTCTTGAATTATAGTTTATTTTATTCGGGATTGGTGTAGATGAGAGTTTAAAGTTGTTCAGACATATAACTTTGAACCAAAAAGTTGTTGACATATCACTTATTCTACCTTCGTTCTAAATAAGTAGTATTTATTATTGTTTTTTTATATTAACCAATTTGCCATGTACAAATTCTTGTACTTGTTTGTAAGCCATATTAGGTGTGAAGACTAGTGATTATATCCGATTGCCCGAACCGAAGTAGATGGAAGGTTATTTGAATTTGCGACTTAGTGGCTGAAAGTCTAGTGCTTTATAACCGCTAAGCTACCCCTCATTGACCTGTTTTATTTAGAATTGTTAGCATATGAATCTGTATGTAATGTTTAGTTTCGCTTATTTTTTAAACTTTATAGAGCGTTTCTGTTGCGTTCGTTGTTTTTTTATTCAGCCGAACCCAAAAATTATCTCAACGACTAATTATACGGGCTTACTAAGCATTATTAATCTCTCCTGTCTTGTCAGCGCAATAACTTTTGTTTTTCATATCTAGCCTTCAATCATCTAACTGTAGGCTTGATTTTATTTACATCTGTTTTGACCTCTTAGCTAGTATAGGTTGTCTACTTATAAATTTAAATAACACTTGGCCTCTTATTCTTATATATTAGATCATATACTTGTCATTAAGAAACTATCTCTTCACTTTACCCAGTTCACTTTAATTATAATTGTGGTTTTCACCATAAAGCTTTAAAGTAAATTATCTCTCTTTAATCAATTTAATGATAAATGTTTTGTTATTCTGGCTACTTAGATTAATAAGTAAAATTAAACTTGTTGACATAAAACTGGAGTTTGTTTCCATTCGCAAAGAATAAATAACTATTTATTTCTTCTCCTTTGCTACCAAATGTTTTCTTTCCTCTATATTTAATCAACATGCGCTTCATTTTATTATTGTATTTCCTTCGATTACAGCGTGTGATTAAACCACATGATACTTTAATTATCTTTGGAATACATTCCCTTTTCATTACCGTTCATTTAATGTCAATCACTAGTGGAAACATTAAAGCATTAGTTTTGTACTAGTGAATACTTACAGTGATTTATGATCGAGATCAACATTTTTTATGTGTAACTAATTATTCAGGTATCTAAGCCTTCAACTTTCAGCTATGGGTTTGTGGGTTGAAACCCCTTAACTATATAGTTATAACGTTATCGAGATTCGTGCAACATAGCCTAAGTGATGTTATTTTTAGGTTGGTGTATTTATTGTTTCATCTCAGAACTGTTATGATTAGTTTTTAAAAGTGTAGCCAATTAATAAATTTTTATGTCAAAAATCTTATTCTGGTTAATGTGATCGATTCACGAAATATTTTAGTTTCTTCTAAAACTTTATGACATTAGAGTGAAAACTATTAGCAACTGAGTATTTGAAGTTCCATAAATGTTAAATACTTAAGGCATTAACGCAAAATTGAGTGTTTGGTCCATTGTGTTATAAATTTTGTCTGAATAACCCCCAAATACCCTAGTACGAATGAGGGTGGGGAGAATTCGCTCTTCTTCTTGAAATACTTTAATGTGACCATATATATATATACATAATGCCGTTGAAGTCCTACTCACTGCCTTCTCTCGGCATGGGTGTCGTTTACGAACTTGAGAGGATGAGAAGCTAATGTCCGGCGCTTCAACTGTGTTGGAGGGTATGGAAGATCCATCTAAGGGAGTTGGAAAACCTTTATCCCAGACCAATGGTGCACATGAACTCCTGGATTTTGATTGAACAAGTGGCGTATGAACCTACCGTTGGTCTTCGGCTACCATGAAACGATGTCTTTTCGCCATCTCTACCTACGCTCTGGTAGATTTCGGCCCGGAATCGATCAACGATGAGTTTTACCACTATTCTATATAAAGTGCGTTCGACAGACATTCTGTAAAAGGTTGGATCTATAACGCATCGGTCAGAGCAGTTTTGCTATATCCTTGTGGAACATAACTTCTTTGTGTCGAGGATGTTGGACGACTGTGTTTAATCGTCGTTTTCTTTGAAAGATTGCTGATATCCAGTGGCCACACCATGTTAATAATGCAGAGTTTCAGACACATGTGTTCGGGGTCGGGGACGATGACTCAACTGATGTTATCATCTCAAAACACTGACTTCGGTGACTTGGATATATCCTTTAAATGTCATCCCAGAGAATTACATGTCATGCTTCATTTGCCGACACTGGATCTGGTTGGAAAAAGTGGGGAGGTGGTCAGTGCATGATATGGTACGAAAGAAAGCTATTTAGGACTGGCTTCTCCTGGTTCTTCACAACTCCCTCGTTTGGGTGCTAGAGATGGTGCAACACAGTGGTTAAAGACGTTATCAGATATTGGATTAGAATAGAAGCCAATTGCGATCCTGCTATAACTTTTACTTTCTTCATAAAAATGAACGTAACTGCTTTAATTGAAAGAATGCTTTCTGGTTATATTTTCGCTAACTGAACTGCCTCGCCTATTATTATTATTTATTATTTATTTGAACACATAAATATTGGTACAAGGGGGCATCAAATATATATGCGCCACACAAAACAATGAGAATGGGAAGAGAAAAAGAAGGCAAGGTGCGTATGAGAAAAAAAAGAAAAAAGGACAATAACGACCACAGATTAGTGTAAGGTAGTGTAGTAATAATAATAATGAGGAAACGGAAAGGTACAATCAGAATTCTTTCAGTTAAGGAAGATACAACCACTTTTTAAGAAGAAAGTAAGAGAAGGTTACAGCAGGATCGCCACTGGCTTCTATTCTGAGCCATATCTGATAACATCTCTAACCGCTATGTCGCAACATCTCTCGAACCGCAGCCAGGGAGTCGTGAAGGACCAACACAAGCCAGTCCTTTGCAGTTTTCTTTCATATAACGACACCATGTCATACAGGGACCACCTCTTCGCTTTTTCCGACCAGTCCCAGCGTCGGCAAATAATGCACGACGTGGAATTCTCTGGGATGACATTTGTAGAACGTGTCGAAGCCACCGAAGTCGATGTTTCAAGATGGTGACACCAATCGGATTATCGTCTCTGTGCCCGAACACACGATGACGAACCTTTGCATTACTAACATGGTGTTGCCACTGGATGTCAGCAATCCTTCGGAGATAGCGATGATCGAACACAGAGAGTCATCTAACGTCCTCAACTCGGAGAGGCCAGGTTTCACAAAAATGGAGCACGGTGAGATCGGGCAACCCTGTGTAACCCCACTGCTTGAATGGAACAATGGAGAAAGGTGGTTATATGCCCTCACTCAACCTGAAGTGTTTGTGTATAGAACCCTTTAAGATGTTAATAAACTTCTCAGGCACACTCTTCTTCAATAAACAATCCCAGAGAACAGTCACAAAAAGAATGAAATGACGATTATTAGTATTATTATTATTGTTATTATTATTACTTCACTCTCATTCACTGATTTCTATTCATTGTTGTTCTTTTTTGCTATACTTACACTACTTTCTCTATCTCTTCACAACATTGTTATTGTGTGGCGCATATGTATTTGCTGCTTCTTTGTACCACTATTAATTTGTTTAAATAGATAAATAAATCATACATTTTATTTGTTTTCTTAATCAACTTAAGTCCTATGTCTTTAGTTAATATCCCAAGTTTTTATTTTAAATTATTATTGGTTTACGTAGCTTATTTAGCTCAGTCTAAATCAACTGTTTTTCAAAGCAAAGTTTATTTCACATATATTCTTTTAAGCCTTAATGTAGAACAGAAAACATCTAACGTCAAGATAGGCTTTTTCATTTTATGCCTACGATTATTGAAAAAAAAAAGAAATGTAGTTTCTCTGTAGCTTATTTTCGCTCACTTTATACACAAACATTCAAATTAGCTGGTGAAACTAAATGTCGAGTAATCGGAAGAACGTAGTGTTATGGGTAAATTATACAGCCTCTACTTAAGCTCTGCTATATACATAATTTGTTTAGGTGAACAAGGCACATTTTTATTTTATTAAACATAAACCCCATAATCTATTTTATTGAACAGACAAAGGGCAATGATAATAGAAGTAGAATAATAGGGATTCGATTTATTTTATAAATGTTCACTAACTGCTTGTTTATGTGTTATTAATTTCTGTTAATCCTTTTCCATAACTTGGATTACAACAAGCGTAACAATTAAACCAAGGTAATAGTAATTCATTGTATTCAGTAGAGTCATTTTCTGTTCTCACAATTGTACTGAGCGAAGTGTTTTGAATGGTGTGAAGAAATATGGGGTAGACATTATGTATTCACAGTGGTAAACACGAATAATTGAAGTAACAAAAGATACCTCTCTCCTAGTATTTGGGGCCGAGTTGATGTGTAAAATCTCAGCGAATGAATTTGAAGTAAATCCAACGTTTCGCCTTTCAATCTGGTCCAAGGTTTTTCAGGGAAATATAATCAAACATCGGAATTATTGAATATAAATAGGTGCATGGTTCTCCGGTTCATTGTGTACTGAATAGGTCATCCAGTCAACGTTAACAATGTTTAAAGTAGGTATTTGCATTAGTGTGTAAGAGACATGTGCTGTGAAGTGACATGTGTTAAGATAACATGTGTGTATACGTGAGAGGAAATTTCATTCACTATATATTGTCTCTGGTCAGTGAATTTTAAGAAAAACATGTAATTTGTATCTCATACCAATGGATCATAAAAATTGCAGTTTCAGTCGTTTTCCTATAGGGAAGTGATTGGAATTGTCTAAAATAAGTGTGCGAAAGATTCACATTGTAAGATAAGAACTGCTCAGAAGTCAAGTTCCGAAATATTCAAAATAAAATTTTAAAAAAGTGCTTCAGCTGTTGATGGGTTTACATTCCAGTAGGTTGAATTAGTAAGTAATCGAAAGGCACCGATAATGGTGATCATAAAATCATCGACGTATAGATTGTTGATTATCAGTTAGATTAAATGTGATTATGGA